CGGCGGGCGCTGAGGGGGGGGGTGGTGTGGGGGGGGGGGGGGGGGGGGGGGAGAGGAGAGAGGAGTCTGGGTGTGGCATGGTGCAGGAGGACGACAAAAACGGATTGGATCCCAAGGGGAAAGGGAGGGGAAGACGGAGCGCACGCGAGAGCTTGCGGCGCTGAAATACCATCAGGTGCCCTCAAATGTCAGCGGCTGTTCTCCCGCCCGGCCCCCTGCGGGTGACACACCGCCCCTCACTCTTCCAAGGCGCAGAGGTGCTGACGCTGACGCGCTTGTCGGTGACGAGATAGCGCACAAAGGCCGCGCGGCCAACGGCCGCGGCAGTGAGGGGCAGCCAGAGGAGGGTGGCGCCCAGCGCGATGTTGCTGGCCAGGTCGCCACGGTGGGGCGGGGAGTCCAGGAACACCTCCTCCCGGCCCCAGTCCTTGGGGGTGGGAGGGGTGGGGCTGGGCTTGGAGGCGGGGGCCGAGATGTCCCTGCCCGGCACCCGCGCCGCGGCGCCCTGGCTAGTAGGACGCTGCTTGGAGGCGCGCTTGCCCTGCAGCGCGGCTATCCGCTCCTCAAACTTGTCGTCGTCGTCGTTGTCGTCGGGTGTAGAGCCGGATGAGCCTGCGCATGGGGACGGCTGCTGGAGGTCGGAGGCTGGAGGTACTGTACTGATCTCCACCCTCCCCATGAGCATTCTCCAGGCAGGCATGTACCCGACATGTCTCATGGTCTTCAAAAAGGAATACGCTACCTGAAGCCAAACACACGGTGTGTCGCGCTCCATGGAACTGCCTCCGGGGTGGGATGGCGCTCTTCACGAACGGTCGGGGCGATGGCAATGTGGGTAGGGCGCTGTGAGGAACCCTCTGCAGGGACGACACCGCATGCAGCAAGCCCTTCGTCATGGCGCAGAATGGAATGCGATGCCCTTTATGGCGTATTATGCCTGGTAATCTATGCGAATGGGGTTGTACCGCTCCCCATGCGGCATTCGATGTTGTCCATGTGGTCCGGGACAGTTTGTTTCACCTGCATGTAGTCGTAAGAAAGGATGGCATGCCCCAAGGCGGCCTTCGGTAAACAAAAGTGCTTGCGACGAGCGCAAGCACCCTCTCACCACGTCGCGTTCAACGGCATCCCGTCAGTAAGGTGATTTCGGTCTCTGGCTGGAACAGGGGAGCTGGTCGCCCTGTGCGCGGAGTGCGACACTCGGTCCAGCCTGGCGAAGTGGCGGGGGCCTGGGAAAAATCAGGATATGGCCGACTATCGCTGAGCACTTCATTACTCCTTACCAACTTACAGGGCAAAGAGGTCTGTCGCTTAGCCGCAGCCCTCTCTTCGACACCCACTCGTCACCATGGCGCACGAGGGTGCGCTTGCCCGGCTGGGAAGGTCAAACCCCGTGGTGAGGTTCGTCAGGCTTTTTGTTACCTCAGTAGGTCCCTCTGAAACCTCCCCCGTCACCCCTCATCCCTGCAGCTGTGTGGAACAGCCATCCCAAGGGCTACGGCAAGGGCTCCCGCCGCTGCCGCGTCTCTGGCAACCAGGGCGGTATCATCCGCAAGTACGGCCTGAACATGTGCCGTCAGGCCTTCAGGGAGCTGGCTGGCGACATCGGCTTTGTTAAGTACCGTTAACCGGTTGTAAGGGTGCCTGCTGTAACTGGACCTAAATCTGGTGGTCAGACAGCTCCCGAGGGGGTTAGGTGCCTACAAGCCGGTTCAGGGCAGGTGTCTCCGGAGGGGGATCGATGCAGAATCGGCAGCTGGCACTGCTGAAGTGCCCCAAGTCCTGGCTAGCTGTGGAAGATTTCCCGCAGGACTGGAGTCCATGCTGTGCGGTGTCTCCCAGCCATGGTGGCCATGCTTTGGATGGGGTTGCAGCCATGGTCCTATTGTGTTGGGTTGTCTCGGTACAGGTCTGCAACCAGCCCGACCTCAACAGCCAGCCTCGTCACCAGAAAGCCCCGGCTCTGGGGGAGGGAGCATCCTCTGCTGCGGCGAGCGTGGCCGTGGCCAGCTGCCGAGACAGCACGGCCTCCACCTCCTGCCGCGTCGGCAGGCTGGGCAGCGCGCCTGCCCGCCCAATGCAGACGGACGCCGCTGCGCCTGCAGGATCGAGGGCGATGAGGTGGGTGTGGTCGAGATTGCCCCCTCACTCAGAGGCACGACTCGTATCACGAGCGCCCAGCTGACCATGTGGCTGTCAGCGGCGCCCTCTCGGCGCAGCAATTTCGTGGGAGGGCACACGACTCAGTCCAGTCACTTGACCATCCAGGGATGTGATGCATGCAGGTTTGCGGTTTGGGACGCCATGCCGATTGAAGAAGCTCTCTCCAGCATTTCCCTCTTCCAGCCGGGACCCCCAACACACTCACTGGCGTACGACATGGCCTCGGCGTCATTCTTCCCTTCCAGCATGGCCACGGCAAAGGCCGCAGTGAAGCAGTCCCCCGCCCCCGTCGTGTCGACCACGTCGGAGACGGGCACCGCCTTCTGCTTCAGCACGTTGCCGTAGATGTCTGTCATCACGCCGGGGCGGGGGAAGAGAGGTGTGAGGGTTGGCGCACGGTCCTGCATGCATCCGCGGATGCAGCTGGTTCAGGGGGTTCCTGCCGCATGCTGTGCTGGCACGGGAGGCGCATGACTGAGCTCAGCGGGCCCATGGCCCGCCTGCCCCTCACAGCGCGATGAGTTCCCCGGCCAGCTCCCACCCCGTGAGCCCCCAGGCCTAGCCCCGTCTCGCCCCTCACCGACGAGCATTGATCCCTTGGAACCCAGCTTGACCAGGACCTTGTTCACGCCAGAGTGCACGAGTGCCTCGGCTGCTGCTTGGACCTGGGCCATGGTCTTTGTGGGCATGTCTGGGGGGGGGTGGAAGAGGGGGAGGGGTGCTGGAGTGATGCTTTTGAGGGTGATGAAGCCTGCATCCAACAGCGAGCCAGACCGCCCAGGCATGTTCAGTGAACCGGACTGCCTAGGCATGTGCACTGGGTGGGATATCTTGGCTCTTGAGTTGAAGAGTTGAGCATGTCAGGATCGGACTCCAGAATCGCAAGGCCACCCAACGGAATCTCCCTGTACCCCATCGACCCACTCCATGGTCCAGCAACCATGCCACCCACTCGTGAGTCGGGCCAGCTCGGTCTCGTTGGGGGAGACGAGGCTGACATTGGAGAGCAGGTCCACCTGTATGGGCTGTGTCACGCCCCCCGCGTCCAGGATGACTGGGACTCCGGCCGAAGCGGCGATCTGCGTGTGTGGGGGTGGGTATGTGGTGGCGGGTCCGGGGGGGTTCGCCGGTGCTGTACCCCGTGCCAGGTGCGCCACGCTGGGGCGACTGTGGTCAGATGCATTTGAGGGGAAAGGAGCCGCTCCCGTGCATCCCAAGCCTCCATCCAACCCTGCACAGACCTTGGCAAAGATGACGTTGAAGACTTCCGGGATCTCTCGCTGCAGGAGGAGCGCTCCAGCCGTCTGCACTGCCTGTGGAAACGCAGCAGGAGGAGTTTGAGCATCATGGACTGCCCTACACGGGCAATCACTGCCGGAATGTTGAGAGGTCGCCCTGGCTCCCGCTGCACCCGCTACTCTGCCTGACTCCCTTCCAAGCTCCATGGGCAAGCCAAGGAGCATCCCAAGCACCAGCCCCCCGGCCAAGACAACCCTGCGGCGTGCCTGTGTGGCCTCATCCGTGATCTTCCAGTTGTCCGAAGTGTTTGCACCTCCTACCAGGATGATGCTGTTTTCTCCTGTAGTGGAACAAGGGAGAAGGAGCATGCCTGCATGTCGAGCCGCCTAGTGGGACCGATGGGAATCCCACCACTCATACTGAAACAAGGAGACTGACATCGCCCCCTGCATCCCAAGCCTACTACCTCCAGGTTGCAGGAGAATCAGGGCCATTCCGCTGGAGCCATCCGCACTGGTGACCAGGGAAGTGTCCACGCCGCAGTCTGACAGGGAGCTTCGGAGCATGCCGGCATAGGCGTCCGTCCCCACCTGTCATGCGATGCCGTGAGGCCTTGCTAGGGCGAGAGTGCCATGCAGGAAGGATGCGAGTTTGGCAATCCAAGCACAAAGAAGATGCGACATGGAGGGTGTCCCCAAACCACCTCATCCCCTTCTCGCCTAGGACGCAGTGCTTGCCTGCCCAATAAGGAAGGTGTTGTAACCCAGTCGCGCGGCAGCTGCCGCTTGATTGGCTCCCTGCAAGGAGATTGTGATTTGGAGTTTAGGCTGGCAATCACCCTCACACGGCGCCGGCTTGGGATGCATCCGGTGCGGGGTGTTAGGGCCTGCGACCCACTTTACCTTGCCACCAGGAAACACATCAAACCCCTGCGACTCCATCGTCTCGCCGGGGGCCGGCAGACGGGCTACCTTGGCTACTAGATCGGCATTGATACTGCCCGCCACGACCAAGGGCTTGCGGGTGTCGGCATACATGCCGGGACAAAGTGGTCTCCGAGTGGCCGGCCTGACTCTTGACCGCTCTATGACAAGAATCAAATTGACTTAGTTGATGGCGTCCAACGACATCGACATGGAGCTTGGTCATCGCAACGCGGAGAGTATCGGCTCAGGCTTAACTTGCGGACCTTTTTGTTGCAGGCGCGAGAGCAACAAGTCCTGCAAACTTGATGTCCGAAACAAACATCTCGAAATAACCCCGAACAGACATGCATTGATTTACTCCACACCCAAGTAATTTAATCATGCGCATCAGCCGTAAGAGGTGCTGTTACGCAGCTTAGCATTATAGGGACTTCCCTCATAGATAGTGGGATTGAGAAAAGCAAACCGTCATGCTTTCGAACACCATCCCCTGCCGGGCTCAAATCCCGTCGACACGCACGGCAATTTGCGCCACTGGGGATCAGGTGTGGGATGCACACACGTCTCCTCCCTTGGGAATCCAGGGTATGTGAGCGTGGGGCGGCCCACAAGAGGCTACAGAAGGGATTGGGGAAGGGGGGCCAGGCATTTGGGCGGGAGGAGGCTCGCAAGAAGCAACAAGGCGATCTTTCCCAACAACAGAGTGGCGAGTTGATGATAGCATGCCCAAAGCTGCATCCACGTTTTGGTTCATGGTCGAGGTGTGGCATGTTTGATGCAAGTATGTGTGGGGGCGCCGCGAGGTTTGGCAGCCAGAGCACAACTTTGGAACACCAACGTCATCAACCACCCCCACCCTGCGGATCCGCCGCAGGCAGTGGAGGAAGGTGATCCAGCGGCCAGGCGGGCGACCCCGCATCAACCCCCACGCCCCAACCTCTTGGATTTGGCACCGTCATTGCCCGCACTCACAACGATGGTATTCGCCGGATGGGGCCCAAACCCACTCCACCCTGGTATCCATGCCCCGCTGGCGGAGGGTGTGGGTCTGGAGCATGAAGTGTCGGAATGGCTTGTCCATTCTTCGCTCTCCCAGAGCGTGGCGCCATCCACGCCATGCGCCTCTAACAGCGCCTCCGCATTCGTGGTCTGATGCGTTACACATCCGGAGGTGAGAGGGGCGATGTGCTTCAGTCTGCTGCAGCCAGGTCAGTTCCTGTGGCAGAGAGAGGCCATAGGATCCGAAGTTGAGCCACCGCACCATTGCAAAGGACGGAAAATTGAGGTATTATGTGTGTCATGTCCCCCACCCAGACGCCAAATGCCCACCTCTCTGGCCAGGATCACCACAAACCACCACCATTCTCCTCAGCCAACAAGACCCAAGGTATGCTTGGTAGCTCACGGTGTCATCTCAAGCTGGACTTCGGTGTGCTACTCAGATGATGATTCTGCCTTCTGATCGTAGTGCGTCGTCACACATGGCATGTGCGTTCAGCGGCGAATCTACCACTTCAGAGTCAGGACAAGTAAGGAGTTCCTGGCCGAGCTCTCCGCCACCACTTGGGCGTAAGCCACAAAGGCCTCCTCGCTGGGTAGCAAGCCTTTTGTCCAAGTGGTCGTCGAGCTGGTGGGACGTTCCTCGCCCCTCTCCAAAGGACAACTGTTTGCCGACAAAATGCGTAATGCAGGGTGTCCGCCACGTACTTTCCAGTCGACATCGTGAATGTGAATGTGCCATCTTTATATGAGACGGTCCCAGTGATGGGTCCAAAACTTGGTGGAGGAGGGAAAGGGCCCGGAGTTGGTGGTGAAGGAAAGAGGAGAGTCAGCGGTGCAACACCAGGGAGATCTTGGTGTTCATTGACGGTGTACACGGATCCAACTTTGTACTCTGTCGATGCACACCCCATCTCTGCTGTGGGCTTGATAGTGGTCACCGTACTTATTGGTGGAGAACCCAATCCAATAGTGAGCAACGTAAAGTTGGCGGACAAGAGTTTGCATCCTATGTCTGTGGCAGTGTACCCTGTCGTGGTGATGACCATTGTAATATCCACTCTTGAGTCAGAGGGAGCGCTGAACTCAACTGTGCCAGAAAGGCCCATTGGTGAAGGAGGAGGAGAAGGGGGCTTGGGAGGAGGAGGGGGCCCAGTGGGAGGAGCAGGGCTGGAGGGAGGGGGGCGGGCTGGAGGACGGAGGGGGGCGAGGAGGAGAGGGGCTAGGTGGGGAAAAGGAACTAGGTGGGGAAGAGGGCTGGTAGGAGGAGGGGGGCTAGGTGTAGGAGGGGGACTGGGCGGTGATAGACCTGGTGGTGGAGATGGGTCTGGTGGTGAAGATGGGTCTGGTGGTGGAGACGAGCTGGTTGGAGGAGGGGGCCCAGGGCTGGCGGGCGATGGTGGTGAGTTCTTGGCGTGTGTGGGTGGTGAGTTCCTGGTGGGTGGGGGTGGAGACTTCCTAGCGGGTGGGGATGGAGACTTCTTGGCAATTGGCGGTGGTGACTTCTTGGAAGGCGGGGTGGAGAGTTCTTTGTGGGGGTTGGGGGGAAATTGAGCTTCCATGCATACTTGCGAAGCTCAAGCAAGCTACACGTGTTGACGACTTTCCGCTCCCGACGCATTTGAAGCAGCGGTTGCCCTTGCCCTTGTTGGCATTCCCCAAGTTGGCAGGGCCCACAATGGAAATTTTTGCAGAGGTGGCACCATTGTATGAACGATAGTTCATAATCCAGGGGTAGCATCGGCTGTGAGGATCATCCATGTCCTTCGATTCCTCTCCCAACTCTCACCTATGTTGTCATCCGCAATGTTCTTGGTGCAAAAGTTGTTTCTGCCCTTGTTGTCGGAACCGATGTTGCCGTTGCTGTCTGCCGTACAAGCCTTCTGGCCGGCCTTGAGGCACTCCACGGCTACCAGGATCTCCGTAGAGCGTGGTGTCATGATCTCCAGGGTGCTCACACGGATGGCTGACATGGACAGTCCCATGGTATGAAGGGTCGAGGTGCGAATGGACCCGGACTTGCTGAAGCCCTTGTGCCTTTCGTTTGTGAGAGATGGACGTGTTTTGATGGAGGTGGGCACGTGTGAGATGCTGCAGCTGCTTGATGGTTGTTTCACGTAGGCAAACCCAGTGATGTGCAAGCACATGCTCTGGTATAAACATCCAACCATGCGTTACTTACTTGCAGATGGCATCAGCACTGTCGACCGTTGTCAGATACACATGGGCTCCCAGACTGCAAGGGAATCGAAAGTATGCGCGAATTGTTGGCGTAGGGTCGGGCAGAGACATGCGCTAGTGGTCCATCTCGGGTGCAATCTATACGTGCATGACTGAGGCAGCAGGTCTGTCAGCGCTAGAGAGAGCTGCATAGGGACCCCGGGCTCGACCGGAGCGATGTGCGCGATGGCTTTGTGTGAACAGTGACGGCAAGGGTGAAGCACCTTGAAACCCCGCTCTCTTCTTCCCCCAACGAACAAAGCCCAAGGCTCACATTGCACTGGGAAGCGAGACGAAAGTTGAGCTGCATGTGGCCTGCGGTGTGCGCGAAAGCGGGGAGAGTGAGCGAAAATGGGGCACTCGCGAAGGGGAGCTGACGTGGGATCGACATCGACCAGGGAGCAATCCAACCCACCGCGAAGGCACATCTGGTCAGCAGCAGGACGAGGCCAGTCAGGAAGGTAGGGTTCCTGACGGACGGTGGCATCCTGCACCTCGCGGTGCTCGTCCTGTTCCGAATGCTGAACGTGTTTGCGGTCAGGATGAGATGCGTTGCCCTGCGTCGGTACGCCTTTTCTTCGCTGGACCTCGGTCGAATATCACGCTGCAAGTGTTGCAATTAATCTACTGGGCCCCTGCGCTTGCAGCATTTATGGGTGCAGGGGTAACATGAGCGACGCCCTTGATGCTCTCCGAGGGAATCCGGAAAGACCCTGCCGTGTCCCATGGTAGAACGATGCAGAATGAAAGCGGCGTTGGATCCATTCAGTTGACTCGCAAGGGAGTGATAACCGATTTTCAGCAATCTAAATCTTTATCCCAGGCCTCATATACCATTGGATCCAGGACAAGTCACCCGATGGCGATGGCAGCTTTGGAACTCTCTAGGGGTAGCATCGGCTGTGAGGATCATCCATGTCCTTCGATTCCTCTCCCAACTCTCACCTATGTTGTCATCCGCAATGTTCTTGGTGCAAAAGTTGTTTCTGCCCTTGTTGTCGGAACCGATGTTGCCGTTGCTGTCTGCCGTACAAGCCTTCTGGCCGGCCTTGAGGCACTCCACGGCTACCAGGATCTCCGTAGAGCGTGGTGTCATGATCTCCAGGGTGCTCACACGGATGGCTGACATGGACAGTCCCATGGTATGAAGGGTCGAGGTGCGAATGGACCCGGACTTGCTGAAGCCCTTGTGCCTTTCGTTTGTGAGAGATGGACGTGTTTTGATGGAGGTGGGCACGTGTGAGATGCTGCAGCTGCTTGATGGTTGTTTCACGTAGGCAAACCCAGTGATGTGCAAGCACATGCTCTGGTATAAACATCCAACCATGCGTTACTTACTTGCAGATGGCATCAGCACTGTCGACCGTTGTCAGATACACATGGGCTCCCAGACTGCAAGGGAATCGAAAGTATGCGCGAATTGTTGGCGTAGGGTCGGGCAGAGACATGCGCTAGTGGTCCATCTCGGGTGCAATCTATACGTGCATGACTGAGGCAGCAGGTCTGTCAGCGCTAGAGAGAGCTGCATAGGGACCCCGGGCTCGACCGGAGCGATGTGCGCGATGGCTTTGTGTGAACAGTGACGGCAAGGGTGAAGCACCTTGAAACCCCGCTCTCTTCTTTCCCCAACGAACAAAGCCCAAGGCTCACATTGCACTGGGGAGCGAGACGAAAGTTAAGCTGCATGTGGCCTGCGGTGTGCGCGAAAGCGGGGAGAGTGAGCGAAAATGGGGCACTCGCGAAGGGGAGCTGACGTGGGATCGACATCGACCAGGGAGCAATCCAACCCACCGCGAAGGCACATCTGGTCAGCAGCAGGACGAGGCCAGTCAGGAAGGTAGGGTTCCTGACGGACGGTGGCATCCTGCACCTCGCGTCACTGTCCCTGTTGACGTGTGCGCGGTCAGGATGAGATGCGTTGCCTTGCGTCGGTACGCCTTTTCTTCGCTGGAAATCGGTCGAATATCAAGCTACAAGTGTTGAAATTAATCTACTGGGCCCCTGCGCTTGCAGCATTATGGGTGCAGGGGTAACATGAGCGACGCCCTTGATGCTCTCCGAGGGAATCCGGAAAGACCCTGCCGTGTCCCATGGTATAACGATGCAGAATGAAAGCGGCGTTGGATCCATTCAGTTGACTCGCAAGGGAGTGATAACCGATTTTCAGCAATCTAACTCTTTATCCCAGGCCTCATATACCATTGGTTCCAGGACAAGTCACCCGATGGCGATGGCAGCTTTGGAACTCCTCAGCGCCGCCTCAGGAATAGCATCTCC